AACTCTTCGGAAATATTGACACTTGTATTATATTGATATTTTAGATGATTTTCATTAGATTGAAATAACATCAGCTTCTGTGATTCATGGAATTGATCCTTGAAGTGCTATGTTTTGATTTGAAATAGTGCTCCAATTTATAATTAATATAAAATATTGTTTACTTATAAACGAAATGAACTATATTAAAAAATCACAGCTTATCTCGAGGTATACAAAAGTCTGAGTTTACTTGACTTATTAATTTTGTTATGTTATCAAACTGTGTGCATAAATGCCTCACAAATGAAGCCGCTAAACTGTTTTATAAAAAGAACAGACCAAGTTAACAAACATGAAAAGGTTGATAAGACTGTAATTTCTACTGAGATAAAAAGGCGATAATAGATATATGAATGAAAAAAGTAGCAGGCTTCTGAAATTTAGTTTTTATTTATTAGATTTATACAAACCTCAAATCTTACTTTTCGATAGTATATAACACATTGTAATTGAACCTTTATCCTTTTTTTTTCTATTAGATGATACAAAATAAATGTCGACATTAATAATAAAATTGTCAAAGATCTTAAACAGAGAACTCCCGAGTAACATACGATTCTCATGTTTTTCAAAATAACATCGTCATTACTTATATATTCTTATAAAATTAGGTGTATAGGTTATTAACGAGAAAAATTATGTATAATAATTACTACATGTTTTTTAAAATCATATCGTCAATCAATTCCTTTTTGATTGATTGCTTAGTTTATATGCCACAACTTCGACAAACAATGTAACTTAAGCGCAACATATAAAGACCAAGATTGAAATGTGCGACATCCTGTATCCCTTTATCGTTTTCTTTTGAACGCAATAAAACGTACTCTAACGTTCATATACATCTACATACCATCTTCTCTTCAACTTGAAGAAAACCTATATATAGAAAAATCCGAGACAGAACTTTTCGTACTGGGAGAATACTTCTAGAAAGTCTACTGAGTCAACTATATGGAAGGAATTTACCAATAGAAAAACACATATTACAGCATTACTTAGTAATAAAATAAGAAAAAGTATAATGTCATTCACATGTTGTAACAGAAACACATCACACAAATACATCCGAGCGGTCGCATGATCTTGTGTCATCACAAGAATCAGGTGACTGATATAACTAACGGATCGAAAAAAAATAGTGAATGGAATCTTACTCACTCGATGCATTAAGTAATTCAATAATCTGACCAAGTTTGAGATATTAAGAGATACTCGAGTTAGTTACTGGTATTATCGGAAGAAGACACTTGCTACGGTACAATCAAATTTATATATGGAGCGATGAATAAGATAGAAATATTCCTTAGAAGAAAAACTACG